TGAGAATATTTAAGATCTACTCTCTTAGCAATTTTCAAGTACACAATGTATTATTATTAGCTATGGTCACTATGCTGTATGATAGATCTCCCTATGTCTGTTTTAAATGATGTCTTTGTCTGTTCAGGCTGCTATAACAAAATATCTTAGACTGGGTAACTTAGAAACAGAAATTACTCACAGTTCTGGGGACTGGGAGTTCTAAGACGAAGGTGCTGGCAGGTTCGGTGTCTGGTGGGGGCTTGATTCTCGTAGATGGAGCCTTCTCACTGTGTCCTCACGTGGTGGAAAGGGGCTAGCTAGCTCTCTGGGGTCTCTTTTATATGGCACTAATTCCATTGATGAGGGCTCCACCCTCACAACCTAATCATCTCCCAAGGCCTTACCTTTTAATACTGCCACTGGGAATTAAGTTTAAGTATATGAATTTGCGGGAGGGAGGACACAAACACTCAGATCACAGTAAATATCATCACTAATGTTCAGTCTAATGTATTTTCTATTCCACCTAAAGGTTTGGGACATGCCTCCTTACTGGAGAGAACACCATATCGTCTCCCTGGGGCGCATTGCTTTGGCTCTTAATGAGAGTGAGCTGGAGCAGCTGGACCTCGGCTCCATAGACACTGTGGCTTCCCTGAGCCAGCAGACAGAATGGACCCCAGGACAGGTTGGTAGATGTTGCTGGATCTTTTAAATATTCCATTTGTCTCTTAATTTTGCTTGAATTTGCTGTATGTCTTTGAACATGTAGTATTTATAATAGCTGCTTTCATATCCTTGCTGCTAATTTCATCATCACTGTCATTTCTGAGTCTGTTTTTATTGACTGATTTTTCTCTTAGTTATGAGTCAATTTTCTTGCTTGTTTGCAAGCCTAATAATTTTTTTTGGATGATGGGCATTGTGAATTTTACATTGTTGCGTGCTTGATTTAGTAGTATTCCTTCAAAGAGTATTGGGCTTTGTTCTGGCATACATTTAAGTTACTTTCAAGTCAGTTTGATCCTTCTTGTGCTTCCTTTTGAGCTTTATTAGAGTGAGTCCACAGTGACTTTTATTCTGTGGTTAATTTACCCCCATTACTGATAAATGATCCTTTTGAAGATTCTACCCAATGCTCCATGTATTTCAAGACCTCTCCACTGTGGCTGGTGTGAATGTAAACTATTTCCATCTTGATATGAGCTCTGGGACTTGCTCAGCCTACTATTTTCTGATGACTCTTTCCTTGCTTATGTGGAATTTTATTCCTTGCATGTGCAAATCAGCACTCAGTACTCAAGAAGACATTTCTTCAGATTTCTGGAACTCTCTCTCTAGGCAGTTTCCTCCTATCCAGTACTTTGCCCACAAATGATAGGGGCCCTGGCCTCTGAACTTGGATCTCTGTATCCTCAATTCAGCTGGACCGCTGGGCTTGTTTAGGTTCCCCTTCCTGACCCATGGCCTGGAAATTACCTGTGGGCAGTAAGTGAGGGCAATTTTAGGGCTCACCTTGTTTGTTTTCCTTCTTTTAGAATTATGGTTGTGTTGTTTAATATTTGGATGCAGTTATTTAATATATTTTGTTCAGTTTTCTAGTCGCTTATGGTGGGAGGACAATTCCTGTGTCAGTTAATCCCTCACGGGATAAAGAAGTTCTCCCCAGAATTTTAATTTTTTCAATTAGGAGAGAATTTCAGGGCATCTAATCCATGGTACTGCTGGAAAGGGAAGTCTTAGCTCTTCCATGTGATCTTCCTTCACAGGCAGCTCTCTCTTGGTGGTCATTTTCAGCAATGGGCTTATAAACTACCTGATTAGCTACCTTATGAAAATGGATCTCTTTATTAGTTTTTGAAAAAGTCCCAGCATTAACTCCAGTCATGTCGTTGCCTACCCTAGAACAATCCAGGCCTGCATCAGGGAGTGGAGTCCATCTCCCCATGACAACATTGGCTCAGAGTGGGCGAGGGTATGTGGTAGGCTGATTAAAGCCCCCCAAAGATGTCCACATCTGAATCCCTGGAGCCTGTGAATATGTTACCTTATGTGGCTAAAGGGACTCTGAAGATGTGATTAATTTAAGGATCTTGAGATGGGGAGGTTATCCTGGATTACTTGAGTGGGCCCGATGTAATCACAAGGGTCCTACGAGGGAAGCAGGAGAGCCACAGATACAGATGATGTGACAATGGAAGCAGAGGGATGCATAAAGAGATTTCAAGGTGCTTTGCTTCCGGTTTTGAAGATTGAGGATGGGGCCATGAGTTGAGGAATGCAGATAGCCTCTCAAATCTAGAAAAAGCAAGGAAATCTCCCTAGAACCCCTAGAGGGAACACACCCTGCTGCTCCAGTTTAGGATGTATGATCTCCAGAAGTGTAAGACAATAAATTTGTATTTTTTAAGCCACTGATTTTGTGGTCATTTGTTACAGCAGCAGTAGGAAACTATTATAATACAGGGTAGGTCTCCAAAGAAAAAGCATGGTGTTGCTATTAAACGTGGTGAGAACGGATGCCGAGCAGGCTAAACCAACACACGTCCCCTACTCTTATGAGCTTTTTGTAAGCAAGGTTGCCACGTCCTCCTCTTTGGCTCTGCGTGGTGCCATTCGAACAGAGTACAGAGTGAATGGTGCCCCCTGGAGTTGGGAAGCAGGGAGGGCCTGGCTGCGAGGATCAAATGAGTTAATACATAGAAAACATTTTTTTTTGACCGTCCTAAATTGTTTATTAGGTATGAATTTTACAAACATTACTTATATTAGCGGTAACGGTGGAGCTGGAGAGTATTGCGCCTTCTCCAAGCTGCGCGGCGAGAACCACCAATAGTGTGGTGGAACTTATGGCCCTTTCCAAGGCCACGGCTCTTGCGGCCTGCAGATGTCAGCCCACGCATCTCCCTGTGCTTGTGGATCGGTTTGGTGATCCACTGGGTGTCAGGATTTCTTCTGATAGCTTTATGGAATGGATCAATGAGGATAACCTCAAAAAATTTGTACGTGGAATCTTCACCAACCCAGTAAGAATTCAGGACTCTTAGAGCCCCACAGTGGCGTCCAGCTCGCTCCTCGGCAATGGACTGAAGGCTTCAAGCAAACTTTAGCTGGTTAACACCATGATGGACAGGCTTGCCATAGGTTGCACCCTTAGGAACTGGGCGTTTGCGGCCACCACGGCGCACACGAATCCTATATATGACATAACCTTGCTTGGCCTTGTATCCCAGTCTGCGCGCTTTATCCGGTCGGGTGGGGCGGGGAGCCCTGTGGCGCGCAGAGAGCTGGCGGTATTGCCGGCAACTGACCCTCAGAAGGAAGCGCATTACATCGGACTGCTTCTTCCTCCATAGCTCCTGGATATACCCATCTTGGCTTTCCTGATGGCTGCCGCCAGTCAGAAAGGAAAAAGGCATAGAAAACATTTTGAACAATATCTGGTACATAGTAGTGAATAAAAATCAGACATTTTCGTTGTTGTTGTCATCACTGTCATTGTTGTCATTGTCATCATCATCATCACACGCCCTTTCTCTGGGCTAGTTTCCTCATCTGCAAGATGAGAGGGTTAGACCCAACAATGTGAGATTCCTTCCACCCGGATATTCTATAATCCTGTGGCTCTGTGACTCTAAAACTGGTTTTGACTAGTTTGAGAAGTGCCATATCACACTTCGGCTATTAAAATCATTCTATTTGCAGTCTGGGAGAAACAGAAAAATACATCCAACTGCGAAACTAGGGTATCTCTTTCCTTTTGCACCAATTTTAATTCCCGTGGATGGCAGTGAGATTTATCAATATGTTTGAAGAGGATATGAAAACCTAACATTTGCATATGTCATTTGCAGTCAGTTCCTCAACTTTAGCTCCCAATCAAACCCTCAAATGCATGTTTCTAGATTAATAGTCAGACCTGATGGAACTACATTAACAGACAGTTCAGCTTAAAAACCAATATAAGGGAAAAAACTATTATAGAAGCCAGAGGGATGAACAGAGAGATTAAAATCTTACAGCTATTCATTTTTCAGCAGTTAATATTGCCTAAAAGTGTTGGTATTAATTGTCTTGGAATCATTACATATACTCTGGTCTAGTCATTCAAGGAAATATATTTTGACTTATCACCTTGCAGGCTGAGCTTGCATTTTCTGGGTTTCGGTGGCAAGGACAATTTAATACCCCATATCAAAGTAATTTTATTTGAATTGTATTTTTGCACTTTCATCTTAAAATGAGCATGCCTGATAGTTGGGGAGCACAAATTGCTATGAGTCAACTAGTGAAATCCGGTAGTGAAGACTTAGTAAGAAAAAACTAAAGGCTGACTTAAATCTCCATCTTTTCTCCATGGCCAAACATCTTCACTAGCTAAGAGAGTAGGCTCTGGGGTCAGCCTGCCTGGGTTTTGAGCCTAGAACCATTATTTTCTAGCTGTGTGACCTTGGCCTCATTACTAAATCTCTCTGTGCCTCAGTTTTCTCATCTGTGAAATAGGGATAATATTAATACTTACCTCATAGGGTTGTTGGGAGGATGAGATGAGATAGTATGTATAAAGTGGTCAAAATAGTGCCAGCATACAGTAGCATTCAATAAATGTTAGCTATTATTATTTTGGGTGCACATTCCAATTCAGTCAAAGACATTTAAGTCTAAGCATAGTAAGACTGAACCTCCCCCACAATAGTAGCTATGAGCCTTGTAATCACAGAGGACAATTATCAAAGACACTGACCAGTCCAGTTTGCAGAAACGTGGGAAATCTCCCTGAAGCCAGGCCATCACATGAAGGCAGCAAAGTGGTGCATTTCAAAGGAGTATATTGCCTATGACTTCTGTAGGTCACTCCTTCAGATGTTCATTCATTCATTCATTCACTCAGGGGTACTTACGGAACTCCTACTGTGTGGCAGGCATTGTGCTAGGTGCTGGGGACACAATGTTGAACTACCGGATATGGTCCTTGTCTTTGGGGAGCCTTCTTGGTGACACAGACAAAAAAGTGAGTGATCAAAGCGAAAAATTAAAAAAATTGTGATAATTGATGCAGAATACGGACGAGGTGCTCGTAGGGATAGTGGGGAGGGAGGCTGTTTGAGGTGGGGGAGTCCAGAGGGCAGTCTTCTCTGAGAGGTAGCATTTATACAGACCTAAGGGACAGGAAGCAACGGCCACGTGAAAAGCGGACTCTGTGGCAACATTTCACAGTCTTTCCCAACACTCCCTCTCGACACTGGGAGTATCCATATCGTGTGATGGGGATGACTAATGTTAGAGATGGGAAGATTGACTCTATCTTGGTGACTTTCACTCTCATTCGAAGATGTTTGTCCTTGGATGTCTCCTCCCCATCTTTGCTTTGTGAGCTCTTATAATCTTTCCACCTCCCCCCATGAGGACTGTAGGATCTGGGCTTTATTATACAGCTCATTTCCGAGGGATTGGCTTGGATGCTTCCTCAGGTCCAACATAGGCAGATCAAATGAATCAGGGCTTGTTTAGTTACAAGTGACAGAAAACTCAACACAAACCAGCTTGGGCAAGAAAAGAATTTATTGACCCCCATAGCTTAAAAGTTGAGGGATAGAATTCGGGTAACTGGATCCAGGAGCTTCAACACTGTTTTTGGGACTCTATCTCTCACCATTTTTTTGGACTCTGCTTTTCTTTGTGTTGGCTTCATTGAGAGGAAGGGTTTCTCCTCCTCATGGTGGGTTCTGGAAGATCCTCGTGTATATCCTTCTAAGTTCAAGTCCAGAGTAAAGAAAGCACTTCTAATTGCTCCAGCCAAAGTTCTGATTGGCTCTGGGTGGATCACATGCCCAATCAAGAACCAATCACTGCAGCCAGGCTAAGAGATGACTTAATTGGCCAGGACTGGGCCATATCATCGCTTCTGGAACTCAGGGAGCAGTTAGTTTTGACTGAACCACATGAAGTAAGAGTGTGGGAGGGGTGGATCTCCAGCGGAAGTAATGAACAATGAATAGCCGCTATGACAGAATTACAGAGACCCTATACATCATCACCCTTAAATAAAAGCTCATTCTAAAATGCTTTAACACCAAGGCATTTTATGTACTACTCTCTCTGGAATTAAAGAGCAAGGGGCAAATATATTTCTGTAGGACCACAGAGGAAGAAAAATTCATTCTGGCTGAAATGTCATGAAGAAGGTGACGTTTGAATCGACCCCAAAAATAAAAGGATGGCTGATTCTAACAGTTAGAAATGAGAAGGGCATTTCAGATGGAGGGACTGACTTGTGCAAAGGCAGGGAGGCAGGAAATTGGAAAGTTTGATTGGAAAGTTGTGGAAACAGCTGCTGGAAAATTTTGGATCCTGATGCAGAAGAACTTGAATGTCCAAACTCTCTGAAGGTCATAAGAACGACCTTCAGAAATAAGCAACAGATACAGCACACGAGTGCCTTTAATATCGGCGAAGTATACAACAGATTCATTGCCTAAAGACGCCCCCATAGATCGGGGGGCATACTCAATTGAAGCAGCATCTTAAAGACATTATTAATCTGGATGTAGTGGCTGGGATGAAATGGAGCGGGATTCCAGAAGGGTATGGCGGGGGATTAGTCAGGAGTCTATGGCAACAGCTCAGTTATCCTCACAGGCCTTGGGGTCTTGATCATCCCTGCATAGTTCATCTTCTATCCTTTCTCATTGTTTGTAGGCTAAATCCATTCTGCAAGGGTTCTTGGATGATTCAGACTATAGTATCCAGGATCTGAAGAGCTTTCATTTAGTAGGCCTTGGTGCAACCCTGTGTGCTATGAACAGCACCGAAATCCCACTTATAAAGAACTCAGAATTCAGGTAACCAAAATGCTAATGTGTAAAATGGCAAATGATTCATTCATTCATTCATCCATCCATCAACATGTTGTTCACTTCCTGATGCTTTGAACATTTCTGGGCTAAAACAGGGAGTGGGATTAGCTGGATCCTCTCTTGGTGCTGAGCGTACTTCCCGTCTGCATGCAATTTTCTTTTTTTTTTGGCTGGAGAGTTCCCCAAGCTCACCTGTCCCTCTTTAACCAGGGTGGTAGTGGCCAGAATTGGGACCCTGCTCTGCAGCACCCATGTCTTGGCCGAGTTTAAGAGGAAGGCAGAAGTCGTGTTTGGGGATCCCACTGAGTGGACCAGCTCTGTCTTGCAGGAACTTGGGACCATTGCAGGTAAGTGGCACCCTAAGCATACCTTTCTCTCCGTTTCCAAACTTACATCTGGAGACTAAAATAAAATAAAATAAAATCATCCTTGGCTACATGTAGAAAACATTGATGTAATTAAGTAGAACCTAGACTTCATGATTTGAAGTTGCAGAGGGTGGGTCTGCAAATATGCTTTTAAACAAGCTCTCCTGGTGATTCTTGTGTACACTACAGTTTGAAAAACACTAGTTTAGAATGTGATTTAATTGGCCCCATAATAGGTTTATACACAATTTGAAAGTGTGTAAATTGAAGCTCCTTCTGGGCCTACATTTCACTGTAGGTGGCCAATCAGGGCTAATGTGACCCACTTTTTTTTTTCTGAGTTGATTAAGGAACTCGATTCCCCAGTGTGATTTTCAGGGCCTTTTGTAAGGACTGATGCTTGCCTAGAACACGCAGAACTGTACATTATGCAGCACCATTAATAAAACAAGCGCAGTTCCGATGGCTTGAACTAAACCCTCGTGATTCCTTTTTCTCCCCAGCTGGATTAACTAAAGCAGAGCTCCGGATGCTCGACAAGGATTTGATGCCGTATTTCCAGCCATCAGCAATAAAATGCCTTCCTGATGAGATATTCAAAGTAGGTGCTCAGTTCTTCAAGGAGAAATGGAAAGCTTGACCCTATTTCAAACCACATAGGGACAGGCCTTGGAATTTAGGGGTTTGCAACCAGGCTTCTGCTGATCGGACCAGAGGAGACCTGTACGCCAACAATGGATGCTCACAAGATAATTTTAGGTTTTTTTTTTACATTTTAAATTTACATTTTTTTTTTTTTTGAGACAGAGTCTCATTGTGTTGCTCGGGCTAGAGTGAGTGCCGTGGCGTCAGCCAAGCTCACAGCAACCTCAAACTCCTGGGCTCAAGCGATCCTCCTGCCTCAGCCTCCCGAGTAGCTGGGACTACAGGCATGCTCCACCATGCCTGGCTAATTTTTTCTATATATTTTTAGCTGTCCAATTAATTTCTTTCTATTTTTAGTAGAGACGGGGTCTCGCTCTTGCTCAGGCTGGTCTCGAGCTCCTGAGCTCAAGCCTCCTCGGCCTCCCAGAGAGCTAGGATTACAGGCATGAGCCACCGCGCCCGGCCTAATTATATTTATTTTAATGGCCACCTTCTCTTCTTAGCAAGTGCTACTGCTTTCCTATTTATGGTGGTGTGGCAGGTTCATAAGCCCTATGTAAAACCCTTGTGGACAGATATATTTCAGAATTCAGAATTATTCAGATTTTTAAAAGATCAGCCTATGCATATACTGTATGTAACTTAACACAAAGCACCATGTAAACCAAACACGTTCATATTTCTGCAAAGAAATCTATGACGAGTCACAGTAATTAGAATAAATAGAGACTATGAAGAAATAGCCTCACAGCAATTCAGGTCAAGTTTTGCTGATAAATAAGTTTGTCTTAAGCTTTGGGAAGAAACTTCCCATTTTCAGACTTTTTTGGACTTCAGAATGGCAGATGAGGGATTGTGGACCTGTATAAATAAATTCAAGTAAACCATTTTAGTGGATTGAAGGAAAAGTATTAAGAAAACTACGATAGGGCTATGGAAGAAACTGAGAGGGTGGAATTGGATGAATTGAAGTAAGAAAAGCAGGCGATCCAGCGAGAGGTCCTCGCTTCCTGTCTACGTACAAGATTAGGGGTGCGTTTGCGGCGGGCAGTCTGCGCCGATGAGAAATGAGTTACCGTGGTGTTTTTGCTTGCTGGGCAATGTGGGAACACATCCCGTCCACCAGGATAAGGCACACAAACCAGGCTAGACAAACTCCCAAGATGCCACATCCCTGGTTCATTTCAAGACAAACAGCCAACCTTGAACTACTTCAGCACCCTGAACAGCTCCCAGTACGGAGCGGGCACAGTGGCCATAAATTAGCAGTCCTTAAGGTCATTGAGCAAATACCTGCTTCCCCTTTGGGGCGCTCTGCGTGGGACAGGCAGCTTGGTCCTGGATGCTGGCATTTTGCTGAACGCTCTTTTGGTCTTGTTTGGAGGGCAGTCGTGGCTACTTGACCACCTACTCTGCGGTGGGCTCCCAGCTAGGTGCACCTGGGGGTGCCCTGGTGAAGGGGTTATTACACACTGCCTTCGGGGGCCTGGAAGGTAACATAAAGAAGTGCAGTGGGCTGGGTAGGGACCGAGGCAAACTGGAGAGCCCTGCCTAAAGGGGAGGCTGCTTCTCATTTCTAGCACATTAATGCAGTGTGACCGTGTGGGCCCAGTTTTGCTCAATATTCCTTTTTGTTTTTTTCTAGAAGAAGCCAAAGATTCTCATATGGAATCTCTTGATAATTAAATGTTGGCAGCCAATCTGAATTAATTTTTTGAAAACACAGTGCAGTAGGCCTAGAGATTCCATCTGGCCTGTGGGTCACAAGTCAGCAACATTGGAAAAATAGGTAATTCCTACAATACAGACCCCGCGTTAATGGCAGATGTAAGCCAGAGGGCACCTATGCCGTGTGTATGTGTGGCAGGAGGACAGGAGGTGATGCTGAGTTTCGGAGGACAGGTCAGCTAGGTGGAGGGGGAGGAACAGGCAGAAGGAAGTGCACAGAAAAGTGCTGCGTCCTAGGGACTGTCAGTGTTGACGCTAATTCTCCTGGAGTGGGGAGGGCCAGAGGTGAGGCTGGACAGGCCGGCAGCACCCAGGGTCTTGGCCATGCTCAGGAGCATGAGCTACGTCCTGCAGTGGGGTGCAGGGAAGGGCCCTACATAGAGAAATATGATTCCAGGGAAGCTCCTGGACAGGAGAGGAAGATATCTGAGAGAAGAGAAAGGGATGAGGGAATACAAACACCTTTCCCAGATTCTTTGGGGCCCTTAGAAATTAAGCAGGATGATTTTGGAGTCCCCTCTTCAAAAGTGGAATCCTGCCACCCCACCTTATTCCAGTCCCACTGGGACTAGTCACCAAATCCTTTGAGCTGGAAGTGACTTCAGAAAACATCTTGTTCAGAGTCCTTAAAGACATAGTGTATCAGGCAGAATTTCCCACTCCTGTGGTCCATGGCAGACATCATGTGTAGATTGCCGCACTTTCACCCCACTGAGCCCTAACAGGACTCACCAGGCAGTGTTCAGGCAGTCATGCCAAAGGACAGAATCTATCTGCAGAGGAGATGAGATCTCTGTGTCATCTGAACATCTTGTCCAAAAGCCCAGAGAGGCTGTGTAACTTACTTGAGGCGACACAGCCAGAATGTGGCAGAGCTGGCGCTCAGATTCTCAAATTCAGGTTTTTGGACTTTAGGCCTGAAATCAGTGTTTCCTGAGGTGGAGGACTTGAAGCCTTGGGAAGGTACCTGGCTGGTATTGCGCTAAACAACATTAAGTCACGCAGTGAGAAAATCGTGACTACCCTTTCAACTCTCCTTTAACACTTGTGATTACTTCAAGGAGGAAGTCTTAGTTTGGAGCAGTAACACCTCTATAATGCTTTTTATATCCTCTCTCTCTTTCCCTTTCTCCCTCCCTCCCTCCCTCCTCTCTCTCTCAAGGGGCCAGGGGTTCAGATGTTGTTGGCCAACAAATCCAGCTAGGATTCGACAATGTTGTTTTATTTCTTTTGGCTTCTATTTAATGCTTGCTTATGGCAAGTCCTGCTGGTTTTCCATTTTTGGAAATTTCCATTTAAAGTTGTCTATTTTTAAATACATTTATTTTAGTAGCAAAAGAATGATCTAATTTTAAGGAAACATCTTAAAGAGGAGCACACACGGCAAGGGGTGTGGCAAAGTTGTGCGGACCCCGGGCGGATGACTGAGTTCGGGCAACCCGGGGAGGTCCCCTCTCTGAGGGCGCTGTCCCCTCTGCCCCCGCAGGAGCTGTCCGCCGAGCAGATCGCCTGCCTGGGTCCCGAGAACGCCGCGGCCGTGACCCACGCCCAGCGCCAGCGGCTCAGCACGGTACAGCTGCAGAGCCTCCAGCGGGCGCTAGATGGCGCCAAGGCTCAGCCCTGGCAGGACGCGCCGGCCAGCGCCGGTCCCACTAGGACCCCAGCCTCGCGCTCTCCCGCAGGTGAGCGGAGCTGCCAGGCCCTTGCCCTGCCTCTACATCCTTCCCTGTCCTCCCTACAGGGCCTGGAGAGGAAAGGTTACTAAGATTCAGGGTGGGGTCTCTGACAGTCATTGGGGATTCGGCACTAAAACCCAAAGTCCCTACCAAGCTTCACATAAATGATTCTCAACTCTGGCTGCACTTTAAAGTCACCTGGGGAGCTTTAACGGACTTCTAGCTCCTGGAGCTTCACCCAGAACCAATTGAATGAGGCTGTCTCAGGACTAAATTCATTTCAATGCTTCCTCTGCATCCTCCCTCCTCTCACTGTCTGGTATTGATTAATGCAACCTCTATATTTGGGCACCTACAGATTCCAAATCAAAACATTTAAAGCCTGAAAAGGTATGTAGTAAAACCTGTTCCCCTGTCCCCTAGCCACCTAGTTCCCTTCTCCAGAGGCAACCGGTGTTACCAGCTTCCTGTGTATTCGTCCAGAGATATTCTGTGCGTACGCAGCAAGTCAACATAGATTATCTCCACACTTTTACAAAAGCTTATTATACACCTTGTTCTACACCTTGCATTTTCATCTAACAATATACCTTGGAGGCAGTTCCATATCTATACACAGGAGCTGTGCAATTTTTGGTTTTATGGCTATGCCAGAATGGTGTTTAACCAGATCTCTGTAAATGGACATTTCACTTGTTTCTAATTTTTTACTGTTACAAACAATGCTGCAGCCAATGACCTTGAATAATTTGCATCTATTTGAGTGTGTCTGTAGGATAAACTCTTCCAAGTGGGATTGCTGGATCACAGGGTATGTGCATTTGTAATTTTGATGAGTGTTGTCAGATCGCCTGCAGAAAGGCAGGACTCGTATTTCCTTGAAACAGCAGTGTCAGAAAGTGATGAGGGCCCTTTAAAAAGATGTTCCCTGCCTGACCCCAGCCAGGTGAGATCCTAGATGCCCTTCTTCTGTTCACCGCACAGTCCTGAGTGAGGGCTGCCATTGGGTGAACCCTTCCTGTGGGCCAGACCCTTGATCTGTTTCCTAATCTTGCTTAATGATCAGAATCACCTGGGAGTGATGCTTAAAATACAAATTCCTGGGCTTCTTTGCAGACTTGCTGAATCAGACTCTCGAGGGAGGATCATAAAATTTGCATTTTTAACAAGCTCCTCAGGTGACTCTTACAATTAAGGCAGATCTGATACTGTGCCGATTCACACATCTCCTTTAATTCTCTCTCACTCCCCCGCCTCCCACTCCTTTGGGGTCATTGTTCCCATTTAAGAGATGAACAAATCAAGGTTTGGAACGCAGTGGTCCTAGAGAGAGACTCAGGGAGTTGGGTGTGATGCGTCCGTCCTCTGCAGGCTGCTGAGACCTCACGTGTACTCTTGCCTTGTGTTTGCTTTCAGGAGCTCCCGTCTCTTGGGGCCTTGGACTTGGCTGCCTCCTGCTGGGTCTAATGGCCAAGCCCCTGTGGGGAGTGGCCTGAGTGCGTTGCCCCTTGGGTGCCCCAAGCAGCTGGCCAAGGTGTGCCGAGATGGAGGGTGCTTCGGACTGTGGGAGACCCTCGCCTGGACCAAGAGCCTCAACTCGGGCAGAGAGACCCCTGGGCCTTGACATTTAAAAGGCCCCAAAAGGAAAAATAATTACTAAAAATGATCTTGCAAATTTTTAAGCCAGCCAGTCTCCTCAGCAGGGAGCCCTTCCCTGTTCCATTTGAACCTCTTTTATTTTCCAGCTCGGAGACAGAGCGCCTGTGGGGAAGGAAGGGTGACTTCTGTTGACAGCATGAGGACCTTACGTACAAGTTACTGCCTTCCCTCCTGAGAGAGGGGGGTGCAGGAAAAGGCATCCTTGTAGTCAGGGCCTGATCTGGTTTCTACTCCGGCTTAGTCTTACTTACTGGGGGCCACAGGCTGCATTGGTCTTCTCCTTCTTCAACATTTAGCAGAGCTGAAATAAATGAATCCCTCAACAGAAGCCAATATTCGTACCTGATTGCTGGGACTAATTGATGTTTTGGTGGGCGCTGCATTGCCTGGAAATTAAAACATTTAACATGGCTCAACGTTAAATCAATTTGAAAATACATTTTCCAGATGCTTTCTATTTCTTTGGGAGTCAGCTGAATGAACGGCTGTGGAGTTATCAGTTAAGCTTTCAAAAATATTCCTTTTTATTTTTTTTGGTGGAGGTAGAGGCCCTTGGGGTTTAAGTTGCTCTGGGCTTTGGAAGATGGGTTGAAATAAAAAATAAAAGTACCTTGGGTAAGTCAGTCACCGATGTGATACTGGCACTGCCGAACAAACTCTGCCCACTGGCCCGGTCCTTCTGGGGGAAAGCTACTGAAGTTGCCAGGATGACCTTGGCCTTACGCTCAGGAAGTCAGGGGTCAGGAAAGGGGGACAGCAGTGGTGTTTGCCAGCACCCGGGTATTGCACCCTCTCAAAGGCACAATTCAAGCTGTTTGGCGTTCCTCGGGTGGTAAGCTAGACTTCCTGGGTGCTTCTGTTCTTCCACCAGCACCTCTTGGTTCCTGTCTGTGGTCCCCCATCGACAGTGGACGTCTCATCTGGAGATGAGAAGAAAAGCCTGCGTGAGTTTCCAGAAATGTATGCTGCTCCATAAGAAGCGGGTGGATTTTACAAAGCCATCGGTAGGTGTTGTAGAGACTCGTGTGTATTTTCAGATGTCACATGGTTATCATAGAAAATTAAAAGACTGCAGTGTGAAAGGTGTGGCCCACCCTACAGGTGTAATTTAGGGTCTGATTTGGTTTTCCTCCACCCTGGCAGGGAAGTGGCAGCTAATGTTGCTTCTCAAGCACAGATCATTTATCTTGTTACAAATGACACCAGCCTCCAGTTTAGCTGGGCCCGGCCAGCTGCTTGGAGGGGGCTGGATGAGAATGTGTCTGCGCAGATTCCCGCCAGAAAGGCCTTGGATCCCACTTGGTCTTCCCGCTTTCTGGTTGGATTGTCCTGGACCACTCAAGGCAAACACTGACAAAAACAACTCTCCTTTGAGGCAGACTTGGCACTGCCAACTCCGCGTCGCTTTTGTGTCTCACCTTCCCGTTTGATCATTTGTGTCTGATCTGATTTCTGGATCATTCTGCCCACTGTGAAGAATAATAACGACTCCCATTATGGGGGCCAACTCTGGGACAGGCTGCCCTAAGGGCTTTAACGGCATCCTTAGCCCATTTCGTCTTCGTCACGACCCGGACAGTACTGCGAGGTTTACCATTTTCTGGATGAGGTTGAGGAACTCTTGTCTCAGGCTCCCAGATAGTAAGGATTTGAATCCTGACTTCTTTATCTCTGCACTGTGCTGCCTCCTGGATGGGTGTCCTTTCGCTTCTCTAATAAGTTGGATCAGAGAGAGATTCTGTAATCCCTTCACCTCCTCCTCTGGCAGGAAGCCAGCTAGCCTCACAGCACATATAATTGGTGATCGCCTCAGGCAGGAAGACAAATCTAGCTTATGCCCTGCAGGACCCCCCTGGGGTCTCAGGTTGAAATGTGCAGTCCTTTGCACACAGGAAAGCAGCAGGTCACACGGGCAGGTGCTGCTCCTGTTCACCTTTCAATGTCAACCCTACCAATGGACTCCCAGTTTCCATGTTCCACAGCCTCCCCCAGCTGCATGCAGGGATCACGGTCACTTGCATGCGTGTTACAGCGTGCTGACCGTGGTCCTGATCAGTCGGGACCTGTGCCATGCTGGTTATTCAGTATTTTGAACATTACCCTCCCCAGCTAGCTCCTTTGCAGAACCCCCACTTTCAGGCTACTCTGGACACCAAGCTTGGCTTGATGGGGGTTGGAATTCACTTTGCAACTTCAGCCTCCCAACGAGTGGGACTTCAAATGAAGTTATTCTCTCTAGTCCTGGTGGCCAGGGGTTTAGCTGCAGCTGCTGGTGATGGGCTATTTGCCAAAGAGGGAGGTTTCTGTATCTTGGGGTGTGTGTGTGTGTCTGTGTTTACTTGGCTTTACTGAAGAAATGCTGCTATGGAAGAGAGTTAAAACACAGCAAACAACTTAATATTAAACATTGAGCATTTCTTTGTCCTTAAGAGTTCTTTGCCCACCCTTGCCTCTTGAGGGGCCTCTAAAGACATCTATATTACCTTCTCCCCATAAAAAATAGTTAAGCATTGTGGAATTCCCAGGCCACACAGTGTCTCGTTGGGATATCTACAAAGTGTGTGCCTTGAAGTGCATACCTGCTTGACAAATCCATTCAGGTCGTCCAGCAATTCCTGGGATTCTTTGGCTACTGTAGGCAGTTCATTTTGCATTTCTCTGCCACCACTGCCCCTGATTGCTTTAGAAAGGGACGTGGGCTTGTCTGATGCATGGAGGTATCTGCAACTCTCCAGCAGGTGAAGTCTTTATTTGCCTTCACCTCCATCCTGGTCTTTTATGAGCCGGACAGGCTAGATGCTGATGAAATCTGGAGGGACGCAATGGTGGGAGCTGTCCTTTCCCAGGAGAACCCCGGCCCTGGGGAATGCCCTGCAGTCTCTGAGACCCTCTGGCACATCCCTGTGTGTGGTGGACTAGACGATCGTTCCCAACTATTGTGCTTACTCCCTTTATTAGGATTATACGCCCAAACTGTTGCCTTGTGCCTTTGCGGTGCATCTCAATAGGTGGTGTCTACTCCCCCACCCTGCTCACTGTGGGTTTTGATCATCGCAGTGTGAGCAGACATGATGCGTTCCACCAGCAGGGGTTTTAAATGTGCTTGCACAGCTTGGCTTGACCCCTCAGTACTTTCTTCTCCATGTGAAGGGACATGTGGAGCAAACCTGAACTCAACCCACAGCTCGGAGCCAAACTGAGCTCAGCAGAACCTTGCTGTGCTCAGCCATGCCCAGTGGAACCACAGCCAACCTGAAGACTCAGAAGCAAGAAATAAATATTTGTTATGGGGATCTATCAAGATTTGGGGGTTATTTGTTACTGCCACAAAAGCCGACTTACACATCATGTTTTCAATATGCCCTCCTTGCACAGGGCTGGTCCCAGTCCCTTGATAGGAAGATGATACACTTTCCCTTTGCTTTACCCGTCCCATTATTTCCTATGCACACTATGCCCATTTGTCAAGCTCTTCTGCCTCCTGAAAGTGCTATGCTACTTAATCCCTGATAATGGCCCCTCTCTTCTGTCCTGCACTCACTTATTTGCCATCTCCAAGACTGGGTGTCATGGAAATCATGTGCTAGAGGAAATTGGGGGTCAGAGCTTATGCTCATAATGTGGTTGTCCACCTGCTTCACCGTGGCAGACTTTGGATCTTGTGACTCACTGAACTACTTCACCTGGAGCACTCACTGCTCCAACAATCATTCCAACTCCACGGCTTAGCTGGACTCTCTGGTGCAATCAAGGCCCTTTTACCTGGAGTCCCTCAGAAGGATTTTCAGGTCAAGTAATAGCATTTGGACTGGATGCACTGGCCCGTCCTTAGGGAAGAATGTTCCAGTTGGAGAAGCTCTGGCTCTCCTCCAGGTGTGTGGTCATCTGCTCTGCTCATGCTGGGAGCTGGAAGATTCTTTGAAGTGACTTAGGCCAAGAAGTCTGGCCATGAGCTTCCCTCCCTCTGGAGACCTGCCCCTTCTTCATCTGCTCCCTGCCATGCCAGCCCCACCGAGACCCCACTCCCCACTACTCCTCTATGACCCTCTTTGGCATCTTTGGACAGGGAACCTGAGGTGCTGCTGGACAGCCTGGTGGATTCCCACTGGTGCCCTGTCCAACTCCAGAACCTGTCACACTGGGCAAGGTCTGGGGTTGGAGCAACAAACATGACGGCTCTCCAGCATGTATCCCATCTGAACGTAAGCCCCTGTGGGTGGGACCCTTACCTGTCCTGTTCACTGCCATGTTCCCACTGCCCAGCAGCCCCTGGAGGCTGGTTGTGATGGGTGTTCATTACATATTTGTGGAATGTAGGAGTGAACCCTCCTCGCCCAAAACTGAGCTCAGAAGGACCTTCAATCAGGCAAAGATTGGGAAACTTCAGCTGTACTCCAGGAGAGGGGGAGATAGGATCAGAATATATTCATTATTCATTTAACAAAAGTTTATGGAGAGCCTACTTTTTTTGCAGGCCCTGTGCAGGGCACTACAGAAACAGTAGCACACAAAGCCCTGCGCTCATAGAGCTTGTGTTCTGCTGGGGACTGGGGAAGGCAGACCGTAACCGCACACGTGCATGTATCAGGTGGTGGTAAATACTACAGAGCAAAGGCAATCTGGAGGGAAGAACCGAGAGCTCCAGGGGGTGGGGGTGAGGGTGGTGGAGAACAAGCTTTAATAAAAATCAGGTGGGCAGCAAAGGCCTCATTGAAAAGATGAGGATGAGCAGAGACGTGAAGGAGGTGAGGGAGGGGCCACGCCCGTATCTGGGGAAGAATCCAGGCAGAGCACAAGCGCGTGCAAAGCCGCAGAGGCAGGACTGAAGCTTGGGGCG